GGATCTTTTAGGTTTGCTTCCCTAGTTAAGACAAAATATTTTGCTGCCACATGCGGCACTAATGCTTGGCGCGATGCCACTGGTGGTATTGTGGATTCGTTTACCTCCAAAGCTCTAAGTGTAACAGGTGGGAGCATTCAGTTTCCTAAAAATGTGCTGATATGGGAATTTCGTTGCATAACTAGCGTTTTACGTTTACGATTGATAAGAAACATGCTCATGTGATGATGCATGTCTACAGCATAAGTTTTGCAGATCCAGAAGAGGTCTGGTATAGGCTACAGCCTCAAGGTTTTTAATAGACCAAATTGGGAATTGCACGCCAATAAATATTGTGGTGGAAAACTGACCATTGACTCGCTGAGTTTTGATCGTGACCATTTGTGGGCTGCTGGCAAATTAGGTAATGCTACATCTTTTCCCTGACCATGTGGCTTCAAGGAACATCGCATCTAGATGTGCTGAAATATGTTTTGTTTCAAGGTTCAGTCGACCCCCCTGCAACATTACAGGAAGGCAGTCTCAAGCCACAACCAACAGCAGTGAATATACAATGTATAATAACAGGCACTAGTGTCCAGGCGTATAGTCCAGAGAAGCCAATTTGAGCCCAATTTTTTTGTTTTGTTTTGTTTAGATAGTTTGCATTTGATGTATAATCTGCAAGGCCTGATTTCCGCGCCCATGCATTGTCAGCCAAGGTGGTGCATTGTTTTTCTTCGTGCTTTTTTACTAGGTGGCATTTTCTTCAGAAGTTCTTCGGCGAACGCTGTTGAGCCCGAAGAACTGCTCTATGAGGCCCATATCCAGCCACTGAGCACACACACAAGCGCAGAAAATAACACTCGGTGCCAAGTGCTAACGAAGAACCTGGGCGGAAAGCCGTGAATGTCAAACGAGCAGCGTTGGGTGACGGCGACTGACTGCGTAGTACACGGGTTGCCCCTCCTTTGACGCCTGCAACGCTGCGGTGGGTGGTCGTAGCGAGATGATCTTCACTTCAAGCAAGAAATCTTGCCATACCGTGGTCAAGATTTGTGTGCAAATGTTCGACGACGTGGCGCTCTCACGCTGCTGCAGCTGTCATCAAGAAAGGTACATATGAACAATGTTTGCGCGTTTGGAAGTAAACTAGGACACGTATTTTATCTAAACCTAAATTTCTCGGTCTGCGGCTACAAACATTTTTGTTGACGTTACTTAGATGATGTAACCATTCAGGCCTTGCATTAAACGGTGTTGCGAACTCTTCGGTTGTTCTAGTTAATTGCGCTAAAGAGCGGTTGGATCGAAAGTATGACAGCTACAGCATGCAAGGGACGGTCGAGGTCTTTATCCTGCGTTCTACGTGCATGGACAGTGGTGCCTGTTTCAGATGACGTAATGACAGCTGCAGCAGGTGAGCGTTACTTCGGCATCCCGCTCTGCGACCGCGACTTGGCTGCCTCGCTAAAAAAATTGTCTTCCAAAAACTTGCCCCGTTTCAGTCTCACCCGAGAACTTGTCGGAGGAAGAATGGAGCTTCATGCCGGTCTACATGAAATCGAAAAGAGGCCTAAGATCCTTAGACTAATACTATTTGCCATGTTTCTAATACTCAGTGTATGTATTTGAGTATGAAAACCAATTTTTGCTTTAATAAAAGACATTTTCAAAACGACACGTGTCTTCTGCTGCATATCTTCCAATTTACAATGCAGAGGCAAAAAGAAAATCAACTGTGTACATCTACCACTTAGCATAAGCACCTTTTGCCATTCATTCTTGAGCACACTCAAATATCAGCTTAGGTTGCTTTTGTTTAGAAGCTTTGCCCTGTTTTGTAAAAAGAAAAAAAAGTTTAAAAAACTTTACTTTGGTCTTTTTCTGGCATTTAATACAGACTTTTGTTTGTCAGCAGATCACACACAGCAGATATCACCGTGTCATATACGACTCGAATAACTGATGAGACCATTGCTATTACAATAAAGCTTCGCACGATAGCCGAAAGGAGGTTTGTAGGGGTGCACAAGCACATCGAAATGAGATTGGCGCGTCCGGGGCTTGTTTACATTATGCGTAAAAACAGGGCGATTGGCGACCAGCTCATCGCAATATAACATCAAGGATACCGATGTTTCGATACAAAGAACGCAGGATAAAGACCTGGATCATCCCTTGTATGCTGCAGCTGTCATACTTTTCATCCAACCGCTTTTTAGCGCAATTAACCAGAACAACAACCCAAGTGTTCGAAACACCGTTTAATACGTGGCTTGAATGGTTGCATCATCTAAGCAATGTGAAAAAAAAAAGTTTGTAGCCACAGACCAATAAGTTTAGGTTTAGATAAACTACGCGTCATATATGAGGCGTAGTTTATCTAAACCTAAACTTATCAGTATGTTCGAATGTTGAAACTATAGTTTCAACATTCGAACATTGTTGATATGTACCTTTCTTCAGTTCAACTTGATGACAGCTACACCAGCGTGAGAGAGCTCACGTCGAACACTTGCACAAATATCTTGACTATGGTAAGATTTCTTGCCCTCGACTGGCTTGAACACTTCATTTCTAGCATCACGGTATGTCTTGCTTGAAGCGATGATCATCTCGCACACGGCAACAAACAAAGAACGCTTTGTTTCATTTAACGCTACCGGTCTACGGGCGTCGCAAATCTATCGCCCCCTTTTCCGCCATGTTGGATCGATCGGAGCGCCCCCTATGTTCGCTAAAACTCCTCAATAGCCGTCGTGGTTTTCGTCGTGGATGTCACAGACGACCGTCACCAGATCTCGGTAATCCGTAAAGTGGCTAAGCGCGGTGGAAGTTACGAAACCATCCAACATAACGCGTAGCAACCGGATACTGCCAAAGTGGGATTTCGCGTAACGCGAGTAATATTTGAAAGCCAGTCTTTCAAGCAGACGACGCGGAAGACTCCTTTTGTCGGTTCGTTACTGGCGGGATGCCGGCCGACCGACGGGAAAGCTCGACTTTCCTGGCCTCGCGCCAAGGGCGGGGAGAGGTTTTTCCGTAGCGGCGACGACAGGAGAGGAGGTCGAAATCTCTGCCAATTCGCTTCCCCTCTGCAATTGTGTAACTATCACAAGGCGGTGTGGGAAACCACCAGGATGACCTTCAGGGGATCGGGCAAACAAACTAAAGATGTCACCTCCGCCTACTCGCCCTGGCGAGGGAGTCGCCAAATTTTGTCCTGTCAAACCGTTCATCGGGCAAAATGGCTGAGATTTTCTGCTGGAGCAACGCGGGAGGGAGTCCCAATTTTCTTATATCCAGCCTGTCTGTGTTCGTTGTACGCCATTCAATTCTCCCGAGATAAATTACATTAGTCTTCTAATCTCCTTTTTGTTATTAAAATGCACTTATCCATACTCCCATTCTCGTCTGCGAACCACAGCGCGCCGGCTAAATCCGTCGCACCATCCGGGAGAGCGGTGGCAAGCCCTGTGCACCTCAACACCACATGTTCTAACGTTTCGTCTTCCCCTTAGCGTACGGCACACCGCATAATCACTTCCCCATACGTTGTCCTGTGTGTCCTAGTCCTCAATACTCCAAAACGAGCCTCAAATAACAACGAGCTTTCCCTTAAATTATCATACCAATGTTTTATCTATATCCTGCTTTCGTCGCCTATACAGAGTTAAAGCTGATTTTCCCTGCATTCTTTCCTCCCACATTTTTCTCTCGGCTCCTTTTATTTACCTTTTCACAGGGGCAGTCTGCTCTTCCCCAGCGCGTGAATGTTGATATTTTAATTTCAGTTGTCGGGTTCGGTTTGTTCGGCTAGTGCTCATACCTTTCATATATAAATGCTTATATACCTTTCTAGCACACCGTGTATCCTCAATTGTGTCTAGCCTTTGTACAAATTTTAAATTAACTATCGCCTCCAATCTCCAAAAGATGCCTATAGTCCCTGTCGCCCTGCAATCCTTCATTTGGTGTGTTCCCATGCGCCCCCAGTGCCAGTCTTCCCACGCTCCCCTGCCGGGTCTCTAAACTCGACTGGACCTGATTTCATGCGGCATTGACAAAAGACCATCATGCCACAATGACTCCTTTTCATATTACCGCAACAACTTCATGCCTCTTGTAAGTTCCATAGTGTCCAATACTTCATAATTGCTGCATTTTGTTTCCCTATCTCTGGCATATTTTCTTCCTATTCTTCTAAGTATTGTTTTTCGTCATACAACCATTCTTTTAGATATTTATTAGTATTTATGTGTTATTTTAAAACCTGTTGCATTTTGAGTGGTTCCCTCTTTTCATCGTTATAAACCACTATTCCCGACTTGCCCCTACTGAATTGCAGGCCCGAGAGTCTCCTTCCTTTCCACAGATCTTAATCAGCTCCTGTAACCTAAACCGGTTATCTGCTAACAGTACAATGTCGTCTGCGTAGAACACTCCTGGTATAGCTTGGTTTACTTTTTTTCTCTCTTCCATATATGACACATTTAAACCTGAATTGCACTCACGTAATTTATTTTACATTCTACTCAGGTATACCGTAAGAAGCAGAGGCGATAGGGAATATTCCTGCCCGAGTCCTTTTTTATTTCGGCCGGTTCTGTTATTTCTGCTTCCCATGTTATGACTACCATATTATTTGTGTAAACCTGCTGTAAAAGCCTAATCAAGCGTGCATTCAAATCCTACTCTCTCAGTTGCACCCATATTTTTTCCTGACAAACATTGTCGTACGTCACTTCAACGTCTAGAAATGCTATCCATAACGAATTTTTGAGTGATTGAGCGATGATGAATAAGTTAACATCATGGTGTGACTAACTTGGGAAATGCTGCGTGGTCGCCGAATGAAAATGATCTACCTTAGTGAGATGTTTATTGCATTTACTAGAGCTCTGACAGTCGCGAAATTTGGTGTATATACTAGGTAGACTATGAGCATTCCATCTTTCTTTTCTAAGGGGGGGGGGGGGGGGACGTAGTTACGAACTGAAATTTGTGAGACCGCTTACCTTTTGGAACCTTGGTGGGGAGCAAGCAATTGCCAGTTTTCCGTTATCCACCTCAGGAGCCTATTCAGATTCCTGGGCTTCCCGGCGTCCGCCCACACTGCCTCGGGCATTCCGCTGTTCAGGTCCCAGCTCAGCGCGTCGGGCTCCTTGGGCATGCACAGGTACTTGAGCTCGGAACGGTCGCCCAAGTATTCTCGGTTCTTTCCGACGACCGAGAAACTGCCGATCTCGCGAGGCGCCGCGTATCTGGGCAGACTCTGGGCATTCTTGCCAGCGTCCGTGGGTAGAGATCCCACAAAGGTACTGTCTGCCGCTGCCATTACCTGTCCGTACGCTATCGACCACGGAAACCGCCTTCCTGACAAAGAGAACGGCAACTCGACTGGCGGGGACGAGTACTGGACTGACGCGGACGAGCACCCGACCGACCTTCGGAATTTACCGCGGATCGCAAAGTTTCGGAATCTCGTCTAACCGAGCAGAGCTTGCGAGGGAGAGAGGAAATAGAAAGGTGTGTTCAGATAAGAGAGAACACGCGTCCGGTTCACATTTCTGTTTTTCTTCATATCTTTATATGTTACTCCCCAATATCTGGAGAAAACGAAATCACAAATGTTTTCTATATATATATATATATATATATATACAGGGTGCGGCCGTAAAAACTTTCACATTTGACACGCCTAGAAAAAATCGAATTTCAAACATAGATACCTGAAATTGAGCACACGAACGTCGTTTATACCAAAGTTTTTTGCCTATTTTTTTCAGACGTCAACTCGGAAGCAGCGAATTATTAGAAAGATAAAAAAAATGACAGACGTGCATTTCTTATGGCCTATACCCGCCCGTTGGCCGTCTGCTATCTAATTCGCGACGACGCTCCCAGGTGGCGCACTGAACGCAAAAACGCGAACGCCACACGAAAGGCTGGTGTCGGGCGAGATAATCGCGATAAAAAGTGATTTAAACGAAATATATGAACGATTGTTGAAATTACCTGTTTCAAGTCAAGTTTTGACAGATCGTCATGCAAGCAGGAAGACACCATGATGCGACGAGATCATTTATTTACAGCCTGGAATAGCAAGTGGTGCTGCTACCGTTGCAGACAAGTTCGTTTTGAGTTATCATTTCATTCTGATTTTTACAGGGCCGCTCTAACACATAAAGTATTTCTTTTCATACAGCTTGGGTATAATTAACACACAAGTCGCAAGACATTTTTATAAAAACAAAAAAAAAAAAGAAATCATATTAATTTGAGCAATATTTACGGCGCTGGAGTCATTTCGGATGACCGGTGATAAAATGGCTGGTATTTGAGAGAGATAGTCGTCTTTTTGCTGGTTTCCCATTGGTACCTTTATCAGCAACCTCTACTTTGCTCTTCGCGTTCGGCAAGCAGCACGAGAGAAAGTAAGAGAGAAACTAAGAGTTTAAATTCCGTCAGGAAGTGGAAGTTGTGCGTTCATTCAATTGTTTATTTTTGAAAAATACATCTTCTGATACGCCTCTTCTGTCACGGCGATTTGAAATAATGTTGATGCTGCAGCGGCCCTCTAAACGACTAGGGTTCGGCCGATTCGATGTGCCCGCCGTTTACAGACACGCAAAGCCGAAGTGGAGCTTCGTACGACAGGAAAGCCCTTTCGCGCATCCCATCGTCGATCTCGAGGAACGCGCCCTCAATTTTTTCTTTCAGCTCTTCGATGTTGGGGAGCCTCTTCTTGTAGATAAGTCCTTTTATAAATCCCTATACGAAAAAGTCGCACATATTTAAGTCGGGGGATCGTGGAGGCCAGTCCATATAATCTGATTCCCGACCCATCCACCGCCGAGGGAACGTGTTATTGAGCCATGCCCTCACACTCTTTGTGTAATGGGGAGCCGCCCCATCCTGCATGAATATACAATTTTCTTTTGTCATGTGGTACCTTTCAACCTCAGAGAGCATTTCCGTTTTCAGCCTGTCCAAGTAGGCATCTGCGTTAACGGTGCCATCGAAAAAAAAAAGGGGCCCACTATGCCTTCACGCCAAATCCCACTCCACACTGTCACCTTCGGTGAATGGAGATGCCGTTCGTCCACTGCATGAGGGTTATCGCGAGCGCATATCCTGCTGTTCTGGCGGTTCACATGTCCATCTAGGTGAAAGTTTGCTTCGTCACTAAATAAAAGAAATTGCAGGTGCCCTGGGTTGCTCTTAATTCGCAACAACTCCGCCTTGCAAAATTCTAAACGTCGGACGTTGTCACCGTCGTGCAGGGCTTGGACAACTTGCATCTTGTAGAAGCGCAAATTATTTTTCCGCAGAATCCGTTGTACGCTTTTTTCTGAAATTCCAAACAACCTGGCTGCTCGTCTGGTTGACAATTGCGGGTCGCTCTCGACGACAGCAAGCACCGCTTCAATGAGCTCCTCATTTTTCAGCAGGCTCTCACGTTCACTGACTGGATTCTTCTCCACTCATAAAACGATTCGCCCAAGTCAAAATAGTCGGGCGTGAAGGCGAGCGTTTATGAAATGCAGTGCGAAATTTTCGCTGTGCTGTGGTCACCGAGTTCCGCTCCGGAGTCATGCGGTTTAGAGAAGCTCGTTTTAGCGAACGCCGTTTTACCGACCCCAGTTCATCGAATGCCTTTATAGAGAAACCAAGTTTAGAGAAAATGGCGATGAGCCTACTTTTAGCGAATTCGGTCGCCGCGATCGGCGTGCGCGGATAAGTCTGGTGAGTTAACGTTTTTGTAATGAGCCGCTGCGGACTGCCGGCCGCGAAGCGGCGGGAGCGCAGCGGGGAGCGCACCAGTGATACACGCGCGAAGTAGAAAACCCTTTTTTCATTAGCGTCCCCTTTTCGATAAACGGCACTTCTCTAAACTGAGGCTCTGCTTTCTCTAAACTATGCTTCGGTAAACCGTGCCCGTTCTGTAAAACGTGCTTCGACGAAATGGCATTCTATCAACCGTAGTAAACCCGTTCCGCTCCACGTACCACTTGACTGCCTGGGCACACTCACTTGCCGAGTATTGCGGCATCGCAGGGCGGCGCGGAAAATATTTTGATAATAACTGCAGAAGATAGTGCAACAAAAACAATAAATGGGAACAATCAAGATGCCTTAGCAGCGGCACTCTTGATTCCAAAGTTGACCTTTCACCGGGAACGGACCCGTCAACAGATAAGCAGACGACAAAGGAAGACACACGTTCGTCTGCTTTAGAACATATTTTTATTAAACGAGGGCGTCCGCCAGTTTCTAAATTTCAAGTAAAAGGGCATAATTATTGACATATTTCGGTAAAATCACTTTTTATCACGATTATCTCTCTCGACACCAGCCTTTCGTGCGGCGTTTCCTGCGTTTTTGCGTTCAGTGCGCCGCCTGGGAGCGGCGTCGCGAATTAGATAGCAGACGGCGAACGGGCGGGTATAGGCCATAGGAAATGCACGTCTGCCATTTTTGTCATCTTTCTAATAATTCGCTACTCCCGAGTTGACGTCTGAAAAAAATAGGCAAAAAACTTTAGAATAAACGACGTTCGTGCGCCCAGTTTCAGGTATGTACGTTTGAAATTCGATTTTTGCTAGGCGTGCCAAATGTGAAAGTTTTTACGGCCGCACCCTGTGTATACAGGGTGTTTTTTAAGCTTCACAAAATGGTAAAAAAAACACATCAAAGCTAGAATATTGCGGCTGCGCAGGTGAGTTATACGGCCAGGGGTGCATAGTATAGGGGGCTAATCGTAACTATCAGTCGGCTAATTAGTTAATATTTGTAATTAACTTTCTAATGAATGAAAATCGACATATAGTTCCAATAAGAAACTTGCTCAGCGTCATCGAAAACCACTAAATCAGCAATTTTCAGAAAGACTTTCACCGCGTGAGAAGCGTAGTAGCGCACTAAAGCTACCACTCGTGGAGCAGGTACAAGGCTAGCGGTTGCTGTAAGGCGCCCGCGCAAGTTTTCCCTCTCTTATCTAGCCCCACTTGGGACGCGGCATTTGAACCACGGATATTGCGGTGACTGATATCTGCAGACTGTTTCTTGTGTGACGTAAAAGCAGCGCCACCCCGGCTTAAATGTGCTTCTAGATACAAGCAAACACCGCAATATGACCCGCATAAATTGCATAATAAATATCATAAAATATTAAAAGGAGAACACGAGGATTGCACTTTGATAGTAATAAGCTTCGTGCTCAGGCTCAAAAAGCAACGTTCAACAACGTGCGGAAATATTAAAAAAAAAGAATGAAGTACAGGATGATTAATTTAGAGCGCAACTGTAAACGCGCTCGTTCCATCGTTTCGGGGCGTTGGCGTCGCCGTCGGCGTAGTCGCACGCGTTGCATTACGGGACGTCATAGACATACACCAGTTCACTTCCCCGCTAAATTTAGCGAAGAAACTGAATTTGTTCATAGCTGACGTGACAAAAAGTCATGTGACGTCATTTTCCCCGCTAATTTTGGCGGAGAAACTGAATTGGTGTTGAGGTCACGTGGCGTCAATTTTCCAGCAAAACATAGCGGAAAAACTGTGGGAGGAGGGGAGAAGAGCAGGAGGGGACATTATGGTCGCAACAAAATGGTGAGTTGGGCCAGTTGGTTCATAATGGGAAAAGACAAGCGCCGAAAGACTAGGACAAGCTAAGAAAACGACCGACACAAGGCGCACTCGCAACTGAAGTTTTATTTATGGAAAAACAGTTTTACATACACTTTTAAAACACCCACGTCACTTCCCACGTGCCCACTCTTTATCCAAGAATAAACGCTCTTTATCTGACAGCGTCACGGAAGGTTCGCTTATGCACTTATCTGCACCCTTCTTTATTGCATACGCCTCATGAATTTCCCTCGTAATCTTTTTGCCGCAGCGCCCCAGGATTGCCATGTCATTGAAAACTGGTGTGCACTCACATCGGTGGCAATGCACAGCCAAGTGCCCAGAAGGTGACTGTTTTAAGGAAGCAGCATGCTCTCTTGCGCGATCATTTACACAACGCCCAGTTTGGCCTACGTAAGACCCACCGCAGGGAAGCGGAATGTCATATACAACACTGGTCTGACATTCCACAAACTTATTCTGGTGTTTTTTCTTACACTCGTCACTCTTCCCTTCGGGATCATTGATTTTCTGCATGACGCAGAAAGCTTTTTAAAGGCTGAAAAGACAACAGGAACGTCGTAACGTTCCGCTACCTTTTTTAGGTTATGAGACACCGCGTGAATGTAAGGGATTACAGCGGTTCTTATTTTTTGGCGTTCATGAACGTTTCTTTCTGCACCCCTTTAATTTCTTTTTGAGGCCCTCTGCAGCTTCAACAATCGATCTCAGTGGAAAACCCGCACTTGCGAGCCGATCTACCTGTAGAGGGAAGCTCCTTCCCATTTCCTCTGGAGAGGATTTGTTCAGAGCGGCTCCGAGGCACGAAGAGGCAATACCTCTTTTCACTAACTTGGAGTGGGCAGAATTAAAAGGGAGTACAGCTTTCTTGGAGCGAGGCTCGTAAGCCCAGCACACATGGTCACCTAAGAATTTTAGTTTTAAATCCAAAAATTGTAACGAGCTCTCCGT